ATATTGTTATTGAGTAATCATCGTTTTAAAAGATTAATTAATTAGCAAGTAAGAGCGGCCATCAGACAAAGTGTCGGACGTGTGAGACACCACGAGACGCTTGGATGCGCGCTCCGCAATGTTCTTGTAAAAGAAATTGCCGGCTGTGGCCTTCACACGTAAGTGTATTTCGGAGCGTGCGGTGAAACGGTGCGTGGTCTTTGCGGTCTGAACTCTGTGTAAGGGTCAACTAATGTAGAAACATGCTCGAGCATTTTTTTTTGCTGCCGTTCAAATATATTACGCTCGCATGCTCACAGTTACCGAAATTTAGAGGTGTTTGCAGTTCGCAATTCAGAAAGTATAGTCAAATATTTATATTTTTAAATGTTGGATTGGGGATCGAATTCTGTAGTTAATGTGCTATTAGCACAGAAAATACTACACACATGAAAAAAAGACGTGAAAGAGTCTGTTTTCGAAGACACGCTGCTCACCGCTGCTGTTTCCTGGATTTGGTATTCAAATTTCTTAGTGCCCTAAATAATCTGATGTGACATGCAGTCACCTCAGGATCACCCACCTTTAATATTAATAATGATTACACTGCAGTTAACTTTTCAGTTCCTTAAGTTTATAAATAATGGTTAACCTATGCAAATGTATAGTAGGATAACGCCAGTTTGTAATACAGGACGTGTTATGTAAATATTTATACGTTACCAAATAACATACTTATTTGCCATTGAATAAAGAGTTTCAAAACTATTAAGCAGACTTTTGTCCATATTCTAACTTCTTTTATTCTATTTATTTTATCCCCACCTTACGTCCAAGTTTCGGTCAATAATTCCTAAGTGAGACAGTAAATGTGAAAAAAACTTTGTTGTGCTTTAATAGCTAGACCAATCATGAAAGTTTGTATCAATGTTATCTGGGATACTACTAGTACTATCTGTGAAAGTAAATCTACTCGGTATGTTTGTTGTTGTATTCTATTCTAAAGCTTGATAAATTTAAATCAATTGCTATGATCGCTTGAGTAATATAATTGTAATCACATATAAACCTCAATAAGTCTTATCTTACTATATTTTTTAATATCTATTGATATAGTATAATATTGCTTTTAAACAAGACAATCTTTGATTCAATTTAAAAAAATAAAACAATGTAGTACATTGATGACAGTAATACTAATGTAGTATTGTTGTAAAAATTTCGCCATAATAAAAACAACAACAGCAGAAACCGTTCTTGTTAAAGTTTTGATAAAAGGAAGATAAGCAAGTTAGCTGGACATCCAAGAGCAAGAGACAGCAACAAACCTAAAGTACAATCCAGATCCAGAATCCAGGAAAACGGTAGAACAATGCTATATCAAAAATAGTTTTTACTAATATCGTTATTTACGCACTTTTAAAAGTTTATTGAATAGATAATAATGGAATTTTAATATAATGTAGTGATTAAGTATGAATTACTTTTCGATTTCTTTTCATAAAACAAAGTGTAATTCTTAAGAATGTCTATTTCGGGTTTGTTCGTTTCAATACTTTAAAATTAATTTATTACAAAAAATTGTGGGAATAATTATAAAGTATTAACCATTTCTAACAAACCCATTGTATGTAGATTTTTAAGCAATTATAATTTTGAAATAAGATTTTTTTAACTTCATCGATGCTTTAGACAGTTACCGACAACTCCCGACACTTTACATTTGAGGTTATTTGTAGCGTAGATATTCATAAATTACGTTATAAAAATCAGCTGCGGATACGTGCGGTTGCCGAAGTTATCACGAAAAGTACGATAAAGTCAGGAAACAGAAAACCACTATTTATTGTGGTTTTAATTGTCCAGCTATTTAATTGATTAGTTTGCGGTATATTTTTGTTCAATAATAAAATTTTGTTCAATGTTGTTGTTTATTGATAATATGCTTTTTATCTACATTTTGCACTCAGTTTGCGGGCAACTTTAATAAACAGAATACACACCACCCTCATTTATCAAATAACTAGAACCCTCTGCCATCTCATGGTCGTGTACCATCTTCATGTAAATATGGGGTCTACCGATAAGAACGTCCTGGTTTAAAAAATTGAATAAAACACACAATTTTTATGAAAAATGCATCCGATTGATTTATTTGATAGATAATTTTATGCAATTTATGCTTTAAATAATATATCGGACAAATGACCGCCGCGGCTCTTTTTGCAGACGGTCACCCGCTCGTCTCATCGAATGTTGGTTTTTAGGTCACGAATTGTAGCTGGATTATTGCTGTACACTTTAGATTTAACGTAACCCCAAAGAAAATAGTCTAAAGGTCTTGGTCACACGAAGGTCACACGATCTTGGTTGCCAACTGATCGGTCCATTTCTTGAAATTAACGACTCACCAAACTTTCCACGCAATAATTCCATGTTCACTCGAGTAATGAGGTGAGGTGGTGCACCGTCTTGTTGAAAATAAAGGTCGTCTGCATCAATATCATCAAATTCCGGAAAGAAATATTCGGTTAACATCGAGTTATAGCGCTCGCCATTCACAGTAACAGGGTTTCCTTCGTCACTTTCAAAGAAGTACGGACCAATGATTCCACCGTACTATAAACCGCAAGAAACTGTTATTTTTTGCGGATGCAATGGTGATTCATGAACCACACGTGGATTTGACTCACTCCAATAGCGACAATTTTGTTTATTAACAAATCCATTGAGCCAGAAATGGGCCTCATCTGAGAAGATGACTTTACGATGAAAATCGTCATCGGCTTCCATCATTTCCAGTGCATAATCGGCAAATTCACGACGGATACAATGGTCGGATGGCTTTAATTCTTGTGCCAAAACAATTTTGTATAGGTGTAGGCCCAAATCCAACCGCAAAATACGCCAGGTGGTCATTGGAGAGAGCCCCAACTCTTGTGAACGGCGTTGAACTGATCGATTTGAATTCGCATCAACACTGGCCACTTCACTACGGGCATTTCTTTGTCTCACAGGCACAGCAGTATTGTGGAGTGAATTCACTTTCAAATTTTGTTATTATGCGATTTATAGCGCGCACAGAAGGAGCACTAAGCACTATGGTAGGAGAACGCGAATTTGCGTAATAATTTTGGACAATTTCCAAGCGTTGGTTTAAAGTGAAACGTGGCATGATAAAATGGCAAACCTTACTGAACGCAAATGTCAAGAGACGTCAAAGATCCATCATCAAACATGGCCGCTATGAGCTGTCAAAATCAGGTCATCCCTATTGGTAGACCCAGTGCACATCCTATTTTATTCAATGATCACAATAAGTAAAAAGAATACTGTTAGAAAATAGATTTCAAACTTGGAATGCTTGAAAAAATATCAAAGCATAGACAAAAAAACTTCTAATGCACAGGGAGGGATACTCTCATTCAAAGTTTACAAATCAAATCGATGTTTTATATAAATATTTTAAGGAATGATTTAAGTACGGGACAGTTGATTAAAACAATAAAAATGGTTTTTACAAAAATAAGGTACCTAACGAAAATAAGGTAAAATGGTTTTTATAAACACAAGACTGCACGTAGTGGTTTAAACGGTCACCACGCCGCTTACTACTGAGTGTTGTGGGTTCAAACTCCACATGGACTCAGAACGACACTTTGTGTGATCCACAAATTCTTGTTCTGAGTCTGAGTGTTCTTTGTGCCCGTTTCATGTATGTTTGTAAAGTCCCCCGCGACACAGATTATATTCCTAATGCGGGAGTTGTCTTTTTAAAATAAATAAAAGGTATTTTACTAATTATTGTTGCATTAATAAAATATGAATGGAAAGTTGTATGTATGGAAAAGTATGGTATAAGTATAAGTATGGAAAAAATAGTGGTAAAGTGTTTTATACAATTTACAGCTACTATTATAACTACATCATCTGTAGAAGCTTGTTATTGGCATTTCATTAATTAGATTACTAATTTACTTTTACTGTAGCTGTAAGCTCCGCAAATGAAATAAAATATCCTAAATAATATTACCCCGCCACATTTCGTTGTGGCACATTGTGGTTGAACGCACAAAATGGACGCGAAAATAGATAAAAACAATCTCTGAAGCGTTTTGTTTATCGTGTCAAAATTTGAGCTCAATTGGTGCAGAACTTTTCGAATTTTTGAACCGTACACAAACCAACTTAACATTTGTATGTTTATATATATATATATTTGTAGTAAATACTACATATAATGCATTACCTACTATAACTTGTACTTGAGAGGTTCAGACTATGTACGAGATTGATTCGTCATCAGTTCTACATTAGTCATCACAATCTTACAAACAGTTAGCAAGTCTTGTCAAATCCTGCAGCGTGGTTACACGCTTCACATTTCTCTAAAGGCTTCAAATGCGGAACTGTTGACGCATCGAGAGCTCACGCGTTGCGACTTCTTTTTGTTTTCTCAAACCAAAACCTAAATAAATATATCAATAATAATGCATCCAGCAATACCTGTACCCATTGTCAATGCTAGAAGTGATATAGTCAAGGTAATGTTGCAAAATACTGATATCTAATCTAACTAGAAAACGATATTTCATAATGGTATAGGATAATAGATAGTAGTAGTAATAATGACCTTTGTGACACGGCGGCAGCGTTTGCGACTGCCACGTTGATTACAGCCCAATTGCAAATATTTGTATGGTTTTGGCCTAAATTTTTGTATGTTTAATATACTGTTTATGTAATAAATGTTATGTTTGTATAATACTAATACCACCAAATTAAATTGGAAATGGGCAAAAGAAAACTATGATTGATTGAACTAGATATTTATGGCATATTGAAAAGTACTCGTATTATAGGACTTCTGACTTGTGTAGATATATTTGATCTATGATAGACTAGATAATATTAACTTTTAAACTATCGCTTTCCGTAATATATCAGTATTTTTAAGAGTACAGGTTTTTTCAGGTAAGATATGCTCTTATTAATACTTATATTAAGTACATACCTTTGAAATGCCTGGCACGAAACAGCCTGTAACTACGGCCAGTGCAACCAGGTATTTCAAAGGTATGTACTTAATACCTATCGCGATCGCGTTATATTCCTTAAACATCATTTTATAGTCTAGATAATTTTGGACCATAAGTACACTGACATATCTTTGGACACTTAAGGTGGACTTTATAAGCTTACTTAATTTTGGGTATTATGTAATATGTTTCATTATTCTTCAATTTCTGAACATTATTTTTAATCTGGATCTATGTTATATCTAAGAATAAATACTAACTTGACAAGGTATAATAACACTGTCCGTTCTCCCATTTCCACTTTTTATTTTTTATTTATTGTCTCTGTAGATGCAAGGAGTATCTTTCCCTGATGTCCATGGTTCCTGCTATCTCATTTTTTAATCTTCGCTAAAAAATGAAGAAAAAAAATCCGTGAATGCAGCCTACTTGAAAAGTTGTATGAAGAATAAATTACAGTTTAAAAAACTACGCTTTTGTAGCTAGCCAAACTAAAAAGTAGGAAATAATTTTCTATAAGTTAAAAAAGAGAAATCAATATATCATAAAAAAGCGTGGGGTGCTTTTTAAAATAGTTTATAATATAGTAACTTTACTTTTACCAATATCTGACAATTAAATATTTTTACAACAATTGAAATCTAGCACCCCGTTTTTTACGATAAAATGATTTTTCATTTTGAACTTATTATTACTACTTACTAAGTAAGTACAAAACTTACATAAGTTTAACTAAAAAGTAAGAAATAATTCCTACTTTTTAGTTACAAAAGCGTGTTTTTTAGACCATAATTTATTTTTCCTTTTTTAGTCATTAATGATGATTATTACCATATTAAGACTAAAAAACTTAATTGAAGTTTATCAGCACACGCCTTAGTATTTTAGGTACGGAAAAAGCCGTTAATCCTGAAGGATAATGGGACAAACTATTTAAATTATTGCATAGTCATCAGTCCTCTTTAAGTGTGGAAAGTTTCAATTTAATTTGATGTTCGAAGACCTGATTTCTTGCACAGCATTAATAGGACCATAATGCTACTTATACCAATACCTTAGACCATAATATCACTTACTGTCTCGATGTTCCTATATGGAATTAAATTTTTATTAACCCTTACATTTATTTAGTTTTTAGGACAGGGTAAACTTTATGTACTAAGTAATATTTTTTTCTTTTACAGATGATGAAGCTCAGGGCTCAGTAGACTCCAGCGTTCAAGAAGAAGACGAAGAGAAACCTGTAAATAGTAATGTTGCGAACATTTTAGCGAGGCTCCAATCTTCAGGTGCGCTGATAAAGAAACCTAAGCAAGAGTACCGTTGCTACACTTGTGACGAGGACTTCCGTGACTGGGAAGATCTAGAAAATCATTTAATCCAACACGTTTCATTGCCCTCTGTGGTGCTCGACAAGCTGCCGTCCGACGACGAGGATGTTCCTCCTTCTGGAGATGAAAACTGGTCTGACGAAGAGGAGGAGGCGCCGCCGCCTCCTGCTATCAAAACTCCTCAAAAAATTGACATATCCCAAATACTCAAAAATACTGGCATCTCTTTAAAAAAAGCGGGCGAGACAGATAACAAAAGCTCTGACTTGGCTTTAAACAAACTTAGCGGGCTAGGATTTACTATTAAAAAGAATAACACGCCTATAAAGAAGGAGCCAGAGTCAGATCAAACATCAAACGATGTGATGCAAAAATTAGGAAAATTAGGAGGCATCAAGCTGAAGTTAAAATCAGATGGAAATAATACCAACTCATTCAAAGTGATAAATGGTTTAAAAGATTTTAATGCCTCTGATGAAGAAGAGGAAGGTAGTGGCAACGAAGACAAAGACGAGGAATTTGATGAAGACCAGGATAAATCCGGTGAACATGAAGGATCTGGGGCCGATAATGAATCTGATGGTGAAAACCCGCAAAGTGCTAGTAATAACCGAAAGACATCTGAAAGCGATGATTCATCAAAGTCCACTGTTAAACCGAGTCCGCTTAAAAACTTACAGGGTATGTCTGTCGTTCAGAACGAACCTGTAAAAAATCAGCCAACTAAAATATCAATCAAAGAAATGCAGCAACCGAGGCCACCCGGCAGGCCTGCTGTAAAGCAGACCCCAAAACGAGCTAACCTTCCTATTGCTGCAAAAGAAATGCCGCAAACTGAAAATCCGCTAGTAAAACAAGGTATACAAATACAAGAAATTTCAAATAAGTCTCCTGTCACGCCAGAAAGACGAGAGTCACGAGACACGAGTAACATTGTTGTAAAGCAGGAAGTAGAAGCTGTCGAAACACAGTCATCAAATGTTCCTATATTTTCTGCTCAAATCAAATCTGAAAGGACCTCACCACCACCAGTTGATTCAATATCCACACCAATTATAGCCAGAGTTAAAACAGAACTGGACGCGTCGTCAACACTTCCCGCCTCAGCTGCACATCTAACATCACCTGCACAATCTGGGCAGCCTGCACAGCCAGTGTACTCCAGTCAAAGCACATCAACGAAATCAAATGCAGCTATCCCACTTCTACCTGTCACTAAAACTGAAGATGCAGGCTTGACCATCATAGAAATAAATGGAGACTCAAATGATGAAGATGATGATTGTTGTGTGGTGTCTGCGACACCAGCGCCCGATATTAAACCTATTATACCTAAAACTGAAAGTAATGCCATATCTTATCCAACTACTCCGTCGTACTCTAGTTCACAACCTAATTTCAGTTCCTCGAGTATGCTTTCTACACGTTTGACTGCGCCATCTACAGAAAAACAACATAATTTTAATTGGAACGCTCCAGATTCGAAACCACCATTGGACATGTTGGAAAAAAGCACAGATGACATTTTTGAGAGTTTATTGTCAAGTACAACAAAGAAAGAAAGCCTTTCAATATCGGATGCAAGTGAATACATATCCTTGGACACATTAGGTCCTCAGCATACATGTGATGTATGTAATACTAGATTTACTGATATTTCCTTGCTTGATGACCATAGACGAATGACGGGACACTCAAAGTCTTTAGTTATTCCGCCTACATCATCGACACTTATGCCGTATAATCCAACTTCCAACATTCTCTCATCGTTGTTGCCCGTAAAACAACTCGCTGACCAAGTAGGGAAACTGACAACTATGGGAAACAGCGGACCTGGATTTACCCATCAGCAAAACGTCATGATCAACATCCAGGCCTACCCAGGAGGCGGAGGTATGATGATGCCACCACAATCATATGGTTCCTATGGCGCTGGGCAAAATATGCCGCCAGATTTTTCACAAGCAGGTGGTAATATGTATGGTGCTCCTGGACAAACAATGCCAGGACAGTATCCGGGACAAAGTTATGTTGGGGGACAACATAGCTATGGACAATTCCAGCCGGGTATGCCTAAAAGTGGGTATCCTGGTACAATGCCACCGAATCAATATCCTCCGTCTTCATCACCGTACTCCTCCGCTTCCCCCCTACAAGGTATGCAGCAAACTGTTTATGGACAAGCACCTATGGGTGGCATGAATTCACAAATGGGTCAAATGGGCCCACCTGGAGCCCCCTTTGCTCCGACGTCTAGTTCTAGTGGAACTATGAAGCCTCCTTCAAGTGGTATTAAGATACAGAATGTACAGAACTTCCCCGTTGGACAAACTATAGGACAAATGTTACCTCCTGGTCAGAATGCCTCGGGATCAGAAATGGGTGGGTCAGGAGGGTCTACTGGACAAGTTCAAATGCCCTCGCCGAATCAGATAAGAATGGCCCCGGGAGCGAATATCACCGGTACGAGGCCACGTATGGCTAATCCGAGAGGACCACGACCTTCCATAAGACCAGGTATTCAAGTTCAAGGCCAGGTACGAGGACAAAAGCCGCCAATGCGTATGCCTATGAAAAGGCCGGCGGGAATGACTGGAGGACCTGGTCAGAAGCGACGACCAGATATGCTGCTTCCTGGGAAACATGATAACGAGGACTGCCAGGTAATGGCAATGCAAAAGCAAAGAGAGGGGCTACCAATGATACACAGTGTACAGGGAGCAAAGGACAAGTTAAATTTTGGCAGCCAAATATCTGTTACTAAAAAGACTGTTAATAAGGAAGCGAATGCAATGGCAAATGTGTTAGCATCAAGAGGAATTAGTATCAAGCAGAAACAAAAAAGTAGATCACCAACTCCAGAAAGACCTGTCCCTCATATCCCTAACCTAGGCGCTGGTGTAAGTATTAAACATACTTCTAAAACAAGCAATTTTTCAATACCTGAAGCAAAAGTTGGTGGCGGCATGCTAGCATGTAGAATATGTAAAAAGATGTTCATGAATCAAAATTCACTATCAGTCCACATGGCAGCTGCGCATCCACAGAGTAAAGTGCCCGTATTTAAATGTGATGAGTGTCCAGCATCATACCCTAAGTCCCTTCAGTTACAGCACCATAAGAGGGTGTTCCACAATGTCAGTGGGCCAAACAGAGAATTAGGTTTGCCCGTTGTGGATTTGTCACAAGAGGACAACTTGAAACGATTGAGTAGTTTAGGGATATATAGTTTTATACCACTTGCTAACAGAGAACAAGCAAATGGATGCTTTGGAATACCAGTAATCTCAGTACAAAACGCACAAAATGGTTTGGTAAACAGTTTGCAGGCGTTAGGAGCTGATGGTTTATTAAGTTTAGGTCCACTCAAACCGTTACCAAATTCATAGACTTTCCGTAACTGTAATATATTGAAGTGTCGGTTTTCTGCATTAATCCCAACACGGGGTATAGTGATTTGATGAACATTTAAAGACATTTGAGATGACATGTATATTATTTAAATTATACTAAGTTGTCTGTCACAAAGTTGTGTGTTAGTGTTAACATAAATTTGCAAACGATGCATGTTATATTTACTTAAAATAAAATAAATAAATAAATAGGAAAATAATATTAAGATGAGTCCTATGTAATGTATAAAGTATTTGCAGTCTAAACTGTTGTATTTGAACATTGTTAACAAATTTAAAACGAGGATTTCTTGTAAAAAATTTAGAATAGATGTTGGTCTAGTTATATTTTCGATACACAAGTCAAATTATAGAAATATTTATAACTGGAAATTGTCCTCGACCCCGTTCATACCTATCACTTTTATTTCATATCATACTAACACTTAGTGCGTCTACTATAAATTGAAATTGTAAAACATGTAATTCATGCTTATGAACGCGACTATTTACTTTAATCATCCCATGATTGTTAGGGTACGTCAAATCCAAAGTAAACGTTGTACCTTCCAGGGACTTAATGACTAACACTACATTTAGAGTGGCATTTGTAATCCGGAGCCTAAGTCTGCCCTCTTTATTAGTAAGATTGTTATCAAGAAATGAATTGCAAGGAATTAGATTAATTTAGTACGAAAACTTCTTCAGCGGTTATGACACTTCAAATTCGGGCCAAGTTTATATTTGGACTATGCTAAATCTGAATTTTCACAAATGTAAATAACTAATTCAAAAATTATTAACTCTACAACCAATATGAACTTGAAGAAAATAGTTCGAATAAAATGTAAAATGTTGTTTAAGGAGCGCCAAGGTGTATATATATATATATATAAGCTTATCTAAATGTATTACACGACATACATACACTAAGAAAAGTCCTTCTTCATGTTATTACTGTAATATATTAAATTAATCAATGTAATTTCTTATCTTACTTTATTTAAAAACACAATAGAATTTTAGCACGAGTACATCACTCGTGCATTTTTCTACCATGCTCAGAAGTGAACCGGGCCCACCTGGCAAAACTCGACCCTGGTATCCAACGTTATAGAAGTTTCAATTCAACATATGAAAATTTTGCCTCATTTGCTACTAGTGGGAACGAAGCCAGTGGTAACGACTGGGAATATCCGAAAACAGTGACAGTTTTTTGTCTACCTTCATATGGAAAGGAATTGTTCGCTTCTGTCTGTCAACACAGTGTGTACTACCAATCTTGACCAGAAACTCTCATTTATTTCAGACATTTTATGACAGACAAAAAAAAACAGTTACTAAGTTCAGATAATTGTATTGCAGCAGATAATGGAAACACCATAGAAACATGTTTTACAATCTGGAGATTCTGGTAATTACATAAGAATTGCATTATCATTTACAGACGATTCGGCAGCAAGTGAGATTTTTGTAAAAAAATCTAAAGGTTTTGCTCAATGAGAAAAATGTGACAAAAAATCGGTTGTCTGTAAAGTCGGTTTACTGACGATAGTTGAACGTGACAACGTCATAAGAAAATACTGATGGAATGGTTGCATTTTTCAAAAATGTATTATTGTATACGAGTAGCAGCTGTCCACGTGGACGCATCGCTCACTCAAGTAGGAGAGAGACAGATATCGAACGCTGCCGAACGCGGAGGCCGATTGTGCCTCTTTGTCGCTCGTTCCGCGCTCTCGCTTGCACTTCACGCCTTAAATGGAACGCCTCAGAGCGAGGTAACGCCGCATGAGTCATGTTTTTTCGTGCGTGCAGCCGGCTCCATCGAATTATAAGACGTTGTCACGTCAAAAATTGTAAATAAAAGAAGAAAATTGGGAATGGCAGCAATCTATTGTTAATTCTTAAAAATCAAGTCCACTAAGACTATTCCAAGATTGTGATACAGTGTGTAAGACACATTGTTTATGTATCTTCTTCCTCCGAGCCTTTTACGCAAAGTAGAACTTTCGAATTTTTACTGCCATCAGACCTCCACAACCCAAGTACTAGGCAGTGAATCTTGGAAAATCGATCAAAATTCATACCCTGCTGTCAAATGTATTGAAATAATAGAAAAATTCGGTCTATATAGCTCACAATTGATTTTTGTTTGCAAATTATTTATAGACGTTAATAAGATCTAATAATAAAAACGCCAATGAATAATAAGAATAATTATTATTAGTTATTAATAAAAACTATAATTGTTTTTTTTTATCATGTGTGGTTTTTTTTAAATAATCAAGAATTTCTACGATAATTCAAAATTTCATTTAAAAGAACATACAAAATAAACGATTTATTAATATAACGTTATTGTGAGTGTACTAATTTTGTTTCGAATACCAGCTTTTAGAACCTTTTAGCGACATCTGTACCAGCTTTATTGGGCAGCTATCTCACATCCCTGGTACTAGCCGATATCGAAGTTCTGTAGTTTGTGTTGTTGGACTTTTTATTGCTCCAACTACCTATAACGATAGCCACAGATGTTCGTATGGATCATATATAAAGTTTTTTTTCTAAATTTGTAGGTTTTAAACTCATAAAACGTTAAAAGATCTCATGAATTACAGAAATTTTTTGCTTGTAAATGTCGTTACTTACATAAATTTCATTTTATATTTTCAACGGGGCTTGGACAGTTCTATAGGGGGACAAGAATGTTTTGTTTTTAAATTACATTAAAAAAAAATTCACCTCATTACACTTCTTCGTATCTTTTTATTACTTTTTTAAAGGTTTAGAATATTATGTTTAATGCCTAGGTTTGTAGACATGCAATATACAGGTTTATACTCGGAGTTAGCTTTTTTTTCTGTATCTTCTTATTTACATTATTTTAAAACTATTTTATTGACATTTACGCAATCGCATTGGCAAACAGTGTAAGCAACAAGAGTTAACTAGAAAAAAATAATATTTTTGCCAATTAATTGGCAAAATTAACATATTTTTGTAAAATTTCGTATTGATTTATGTACTAATTTCAATATTTGAAATGTATGTAAATAATGGTCACAGTTCTACGGGGCCATTCATTAATTATATTTTTCAAAAACAGTAATGCGGCCTAATGTGTCGTATATGTACATACGTATTATTACATTAGTATTTTGAAACACAATAATATTTAAATGTTTTGAATTATAGTATATAAGTATCCCCCAGTATAAGTGTAGTATAAAAATAATAATTTTGAATTGAAAACATTGATTAAAGTGAAGCCTTGGTGAGAATCATTTTCTACTACGAGTATATTCTTTTAGCAGCTATTGACGAGCTTTAGTGTAATCAATAATGTGAAAGTTGTTATCGACCAACTTCAGCAGTTAATACCTAGAAGTAATTTAAAAAATGGAAAGAGTTTAATGTTGCTTTGGTATTTTGAAAGATTATAATTTCAAATGTAAAATGCGCCCATGATATGATAATAGGCAAAAAAATTGTTAAAAACATGCGAATTTGTTTTTTCTTAAATTTTCATAAACAACTACAGTCGAAATTCGACAACTGATCGAATACTAAGAGAGTTTCAATTTGGAGGATATTAAATTTATTATTGTTTCAATAAATGAAGCTGTGGGTATGACGGGGATCACGGGTTCGGGTAGAACTTTTTTTTTAGTGGTATATTTAGGGGTGACCTCGTTGAATAAATTGCTTTAACGATGATAAAATTTAGAACGTGTTAAGAGATGTACTCATGTTTTATTTGTGTCTGTTTCGAATCACCTAAAAATGTGCAATTATGCATCTAAGTTGAATTGAGGTATCTATTATTTCTCTTTACTTATACTGTTTCCTTGCTTTATTATCGATACATAAAAAAGTGCAATAATAATAACAAATTTGACGAACATTTTCAAATATGTATAAGTAATTGCAGTGGGATAAAACTATGAGCATCCTGTCTGCTCACTATAAAGTTCGATAATAAAGCAATATATATCTTACTTTGATATATGTACTGAGGCACTACTGTAAGTTTAGTTCACATCAACTCGTTCTCAACAGCGAGGCGTTCGGCATTGCGATTGGTGAAGATTTCAGTGCGCTCCAATCGCAGCGCCGAACGCGGCCACCGTGACGATCAAGTAGTTGTGAAATAAACTCGCACTTGGGCCCCTGATTCTGGCCAACGGTCGTTTGTTTAGGAGTGTGCAATCATTGAGATCGAAAAATATATCGCTTTGTACTTATTTTCATTTAGGATTTTATTTGTTGTTAAAAATTTTGACACAGACACATGTAAAGTTGACCTTCTGAGTTATAGTTGTTTTTAATATTTGGCGTTTAGCGTCAATGCTCTCAAGGTAGATTGCGTCTTATTGCTCAGAAGTCTCTGATGGACGGTCCTGCGCCTCTCAGGCCGTCGTTGAGCGAACTCTTTCCAGTCTTTAAGGGGAAGAGACATCGTCATTATTTTTTTAAATTGAATTCATATTGATCTAACAGCTTGTGTTAATTGGACTGGCTTGTCATCAGTTGTAAATAATCCAAATCAAAACTTAAGTTTGAGGTTTTGTCCGCTCTAAAACATCCGAATTTACCAGTTGCGAGCGAATCTTTTATTTATGGGCGTTGCTACTTCGAATCAATACTTAGTGATGTGCACAAGACAATGTCCTCGTTTCAATTTTGCTAAAATCATAATATACCTACTAACTAGCATGTAAGAATAAAGTGAACTGTCTAAGCAAGAATATAAATACCTACTATTTTTTCTGAAAGCTTTGTAAATTTTGCATTCTGAGTGCATATTTATTTCTAAGAAGATATTATTTTTAGTTGACTTTTAGAGTAAAAGGTATCATAAGTTTTTTGTAATTAAGTTTAAGTATTTACTTAATATAAGAAAATATCTAGATACTGAAAGTGAATAAAAGATAAATTTATGAAGATTCTACAGACTTTTATTTAATGTTAAATGTCACAGATTCGGTTGTGCTTGAACTGTTTCGATTATGCATGGATTAGAAATACCATTAAAGTATTTCGGACCTTTTTTTTGTTTTTTAGTCTCGATACCAGGGTTTCAAAGACGAAGTGCTAAGCAAAGGTCCGTGGTCGGCGGTAGTCACTTATCATCAGAGGGCCTAGTGCAAGTTTATTTCACATCAACTTGCTCTCGACAGCGCGTTCGGCGTTGCAATTGGTGCAGATTTCAGTGCGGACCAATCGTAGCACCGAACGCGCTCACTGACGATCGAGTAGATGTCCTCAGTTGACCCATCTGCTTGTCTGCTCTCTATGCCGTAAAAAAAATCGGTTAGTCAGTTTTCGTTGTCGTTCTCTGCCGCAGATTATATCTTAAAATGCTCTGTTTATCGTTGTAGGATCATACATTAGGTAACAAAGTAATGAGAAGCGATTGCTACGCTGAAATTTTACAGGTATTAAACTGAACTGAGCAACTAATTATTGATATAAAAATTTTGTTTATATATCCACATACAGGTTTATTGGTGGACAAGTAATTCCGCGCGCATTGAGACCATGTACGTGGAGAGCTACATTTCATCATAATTTTTTAATAACTTACAGGATATCAATGAAACTTCACATACATTTTACAGGCAGTTACAAGCTAGAAAATAGCGTTTAAAGGATGCTCTTATTCCTAAAAAAATTATTGCACAACAAATTTACTCATTCTTAAGAAAGTCATGTACAAAAAATGATTAAAATCTGCTCGTCTAGGCGCAGAACGGTGTCAGTGACACTGGCTTGGCACCATCATGGATTTTAATTTTGAAAACCAAAATTCAGTTGCTATTTGTCGTCAAGTATCAGAATTTGTCGGTCACTGGTTCAAAAATTATAAGCATTTATAGGTGGCAATGCTGGGGTCAGTCTCTCCAGCTTGGCCATGCTTGAATCTCAAAAACTAGGGCACCTAGCGAAGATCTTTTTTCTCCCAAATTTAGTGTGTTAGATCGATTTTGGATCCAACTATTGGGGATCCAAAATCGATCTAAGTGGCGTGCAATGGGAGAGGCCTATGTCCAGCAGTGGACTGCGATAGGCTGATGATACATAACTTCTTAAGGATTAGTTTTAATTTGTTCGACAATAAAATAACAAAAATAATGGACCGTTTAAAAATTATTTAGGTAAGTATGAAAACACTTCAATACGTCCTAACACTTTAAATAAGACCTCTAAAGACTTACTTCAAACGTTATTCTATTGCTTGTAACTACCATACCATACTAACTGTCCATTATTTTTGTTAAATGTTAAACAAATTTAAAAATGTGCCTAACAATTACAGACGGGGAGCAACTAATTATCTATAAAGTTTAAATGACCATTTTCGACATTATTTTGCTGGGGTAACGCACACGAGGTAATTGTTGTTTAAATTAAATTTGTGCGTCAATAAACTGCGAAGATATTCAAGTTTCCGCAGCGACATTTGGCCATTTGCTAGATTTCATATAAAACGCTTTTCTAGACTCTAGACTCCAAACAACGTAAAAAAAAACACACCATACAGAAGATATGAATATAAACGTAAAATAAGGTTATTAGGTCCTAGTACTTAGTGCTTATGCACTAAAGTCTAACTTACCTTGTAAGCGTCTACAACGTCTTACCAAGTATCATTGATGTACTCTTAGTAATTAATGAGCTACTGGATAATTTACCATGACTGGACCACTGTTTCATATGTAGTCTTATTGCACGAGATTCTAAAGTAAACGCGTTATTAAATCTTATTCCAATAATTAGTGCATTAATTCAACTATTCACATGTAAAATTTCATTTCTATGCACTCAATAATTAACGATATACAATTAAAATACTGATAATCGCCACTGATAATGGCTACAAAAAATCGACCGTGCAGTATATTTAGATAAGATCCTAAAATTTACATTATAATACCGGTATTAAATTGGTACAGGTGGTTACACAATTCCTAAATACAATTTAGAGATTAAGACATTAGGTCGGTTGCTTTTTCCGCAACTACTGTTTCCAGCGTATTTAGTTAATGCTGTACAATTCTTGAAATATATATATTTAAGACAAAAAAAACATACAAATATTCAAGTGCCAAAATTCATGATGGGCAATTCATTGCATAGATAGCTAGACTATAACTATATCTTAGAAAAAATTTATAATATACGACATATTATATTGTTATAACAGCACAATCAGGTAGGTTTTTTAAAATCCCTTTTTACAAACGGTATAAACAAATTCAAAACAACGTATGAAAAAATCTACACCTCTCTAGCGTTTTATATGAAATCTAGCAAATGGCCAAACGTTGTCGAAGCGGAAACTTGAATATCTTAGCAGTTTATTGACGCACAAATTTAATTTAAACATACACAATTACCTCACGTCATCCACCAATTTTGATACCATTTTTTTTCTACGTCTATAGCCCTATAGGATAAAAAAGTGCCGCTGGAACAACGTTGTCCAAGCGGAAACAGTTTTTCGTGAATAACTCCCCATCATCATCATCAGCCTATCGCAGTCCACTGCTGGACATAGGCCTCTCCCATTGCACGCCACTTAGATCGATTTTGGATCCCCAATGGTTGGATGCACAAATTTTTACTGACCATACACAATTATCTGTTAAACTCTAATAATTAAATTCGAACCATTTACGCTGGTGCTGGTCGCAGTCGTGTCGCTGGCGAAATGGAGAATGTAACTGTCGGTGACGTGGCGTCGAGTAGGTATCGATCGATCGGCATCGGTTTCATTCGGACTGAGTCGTCCAATGAAGAAGTATTAATGCAATTTTTATTCAGACATAATATAACCTAAAAGGTATCCAGGTACCTTTCATTAACCCTTAAATGCATAGATTTTTATTTCGGGCTGGAAAAATGTTACCTGGTAGGTATTTTGGCACTGATAACAAAAAAAAATATAAAAAAATCTGGTATTAAAAATATGTATTTAAATATATATATATAATGTATGTTGACATTTGGCAACATTATGCGTTACGTACTTAAGTTATGCTTACTTATTTATTGGGGGTCATATATTTATTTATTCAATTATATAAACAATATACAGACTATTTCGAGTGAAATGCAGCAAAACAATTTCGATCTTTAGTATGACACAATGCAACCCTACATTTAGTACACTCAGTCCGCGAAAAACCATGACAACCGGGAAGTTTGCATCTGTTTTTAGAAGCACATCTTTTTTCATCGTGGCCTATTCCATCAGTCCGCACGTCTTTTGGAGGAACAGGCTTCGCTGGGCCCCGGTGTCTCTTTGCTTCTATCTCCCTATCTATATTACTGCTTGAAGGCCTTCCTCTTTTGGGTTCAGTATATTTTTTATAATTGCATAAGGTCTCCGCAAGATCCGATCTAAAATCACCTAGTGTTATGTTTGAGTTTTTTTTTTTATAAAGTACCCATGAATTTATTACTGCCATGTCGACCATGTGATAAAATAATCGGATGTACCATTTCCGACTTTTAATTCTGATTTTATACCTGCCCAAATAACTGTCCATCAAGTCAACTCCGCCCATGTGAGCATTATAATCTTTGACTATTTTTGGGCAGGCAATGGAGACTTTTTTCTTCAGCTTCTTATCGAATCTGCTAACGGTTTCAGCTGGTTCAGAACCAACATACGTAGACGCCAAAGTAACAGGCTTATTGTCCTTCCAGCAAGTTACCGAAATATCCACACCTTCATAGTCTGCTAGTAGTTCCTCATACGATCCTCTTGGCACAGAGTCCTTCATGAACTCTTTTACTACCGGTAACTTACAGTTTTTTCCGAGGCGGTTTCTTTGAATTGTGCCCAATGTATAAATGCCTTGACTATGTAGGTAATGTAACAAAGGGATGGATGTATAAAAGTTATCAAAATAAATAATATGATTCATTCTTCGCGGAACTGAACGGCACAATCTGATGACTGTATTACCAACTATACCAAGATCAGGTTCATCAGGTAAGTTCTGAATGTCCTGTTTTCCTGAATAAATTTCAAAACTATGAGCATATCCAGACAATGAACATAAAACATACAGCTTGAAACCCCATTTATGGGGCTTATTGGGGAGATACTGTTTCATAAAATGTGCTATCTTGGTAGAGCACATTTGTTCATCTAAGGACAGCCTCTGCTCAAATGGCGTCATACTCAGAAATAATTTATTCAAATGTTCCTCTATAGGTCTTATTTTGTGCAGACGGTCGTGGTTTGGATGATCAACGGGCTTGTGCAAAGTGTTATCATTGAAGTGAATGACAGATCTCAATTTTTCAAATCTATTTACCGTCATCGTTTCCATTATATTTTTGAAGCCATATTTACCCCAATAGGATCTTACATTTGGGTAGTGAAATACTGACATAAATATGATAATCCCTAGAAACTGACGAATTTCCGTGGCAGTTACAGGAGGGCAGTTGGAGATGCCTTTTTGCGTGATATACAAATTTGTCTCATCCACAATTTTTACTAATAAATGAAATTGTGAAAAAAATTGAAATGGGGTCTCAAGTTTGGCTAATTTTGGGGAAAGGCCTTTATTGCCTATAAAACGTATGCGGTCTTCACTAAATTCCAAATTGCATTTTTTCCATACAAGCTCCCTTCTTTTTTGCCTAAAGGCCGCTCTACCAGTGTTACCTGATAGTGCCCGACTAGATGATGGTCCTGGAACTACAAACTCATCTGATGGATGGTCTTCTTCAATTGCTAAATCAGGATCTACATCGTTTTGATCTAATTCCTCTGCATCTTCTAAGTCCTGTATCAGATCTTGTACATTAGGGTAGTAATCTAGTTCATTTTCGTCGCCTATACACTCCTCATCTTCAGAAATATCTCCACTTTCGAGAGCTGATAAAATATTCTCAATATCTCGTTCTTCTAACCGCTTAGCCATCCTAAAAAGCAAACTAAAATAAGCTAAAAGCCCAAACAAAAGCAAATAATACGCATACACATAATATGCAACAAACGCATAATGTAGACATTTGGCAACATACAGTTTTTACGATTCTATATTATCAGATCCCATAAAATTTACAAGTAAAATATGAATAATCAATAACTTACCTAACAAGAGTTGAGAAAATATTTTCTTTGAATCAAAAATAGCACTTGTGTATCGATAAATCATAAATTACGGAGACGCTTCTTGTAACTTTACGCACTTTGTCGACCGCCACATTGAAATGTAAAAATAAAATTACCTTTACCGCCAAAAGTCGTAATTTATTTTTTTGACACTTTGTTTATTTACTGTCTATGGTCGTCAAACTGCGTTAGGAAACACGTACCTGATGGGTCTAATACAATAAGGTGAACGAAATGAATGTATACAATTGGCAACACGATGCATTTAAGGGTTAAGTAGGTATTCTTAACATTTTACTTTAAGTACAATAATTTTAAATTTTATATTTCAAAACGTGAGTTTTAATATTCTAACCTTAATAAAGGCCAAATGCTCATAATATTATTAGGTACCGTAAAATGGGGGGAATAGGGTCTAGGGGGTGAATTGGGACAAACCTTAAGTTTTATTTGCGACCTTATTCACACATTTATGTTACGTGTTACACTTTGTGGTAGGATTTAAATTTGAAGCTTCCAATATTTTTTCTATAATCCGGCAACACTCAGTCATCCTGTCATAAGTATTTTAAAAAAAAACGTACTTCAAAACATTGGGTCAAAGTTGTGTGAAATTTGCTCCGTAAAACATTTAAATTTTCTCTGGTGTTTACTAGATTTGTACTAGAAGTGAAGTTTTCACCATTATTTTCAGTTGTTTGGGAACGGTTTAAGCTATAATGTAAGTGATATAATCTTATTGTTTTTCCTTTAGTTTAACAAATTCTTACTAAAGTAGACTTGAACAATAATTGGGGGGATAAGGGTCGAACTATGGGGGGAATCGGGTCAGGAATGGGTTTAATAGGTACCCGATTAGGGTTACTTGGGACGGCTATGGGTGAATTGGGTTTTCGTTTCTAGGGTTGTCGCAATCTCTAAATTACATAAAACGTAACTTAATAAAAGTGTTGGTAGGTAAGTACCTAATACATACTTAACTGACTGAGTATCTTTACCTACCTACACATTTCTTTCAATTAGTTTCCTAGTAATGATTGATTAGTTGATTAATATTAATTGAAAATTGATACCTATGTAATTAAGGCGATATTAAATTTAAATTGTTTGATATTAGCAGGTGGTGCTCTGTAGTTTCTGCCTATCCCCATGGGAAACACGCGTGAATTTATTTATACATATAAGTATATATCTATATAATTTTATTGATTTTTTTTATTCCGTGTTTTTTTTGTTGTTGTTTTAGTTATACTCTAATACATAATGCCACGAGTATATAAGCCAAGACCTGGTGGGAAACAATATAAAAAATATGACGAGACTGTAATGAAACAGGCGCTCGATGAGCTTACTTTAAATCGTCATGCAACAATCAGATCTATAGCAGAAAAATATAGTATTAGCAGATCAGTTTTACAGAGGCATAGCAATAGACAAATGAGGTCACCAGGAGGCCAAATGGCACTTACTAAAGAAACAGAAGATTACATTGTGCTGAATCTGAACACTTGTGCTGAATGGGGATATCCTTTAGATATAACAGATTTAAGACTTTTAGTAAAAAGTTATTTAGATATGTTAGGGATTACGCACAAAAGATTTAAAAATAATTTGCCGGGGAGAGATTTTGTCTTCAATTTTTTGGAACGGCATAAAAGTACGATTTCGGAGAGGCTATGTCAAAACATTAAACGCGCTAGAGCAGCTACATCACCAACCATTATCAATAAATATTTTTCGGAATTAGAAAAGTCACTTGAAAATGTGCCGCTGGGCAATATTATTAATTATGATGAGACAAATTTATCGGACGACCCAGGCCGTCACAAAATAATAACGAGACGAGGATGTAAATATCCAGAACGTGTTTTAAATCATTCTAAAGCTTCAATATCACTTATGATGGCAGGAACTGCAGAAGGAGAGCTATTACCACCGTATGTGGTTTATAAATCCACAAACCTTTATGATACGTGGGTGAAAAATGGACCCGTAAACGCAAGATATAACCGAACGTCGTCAGGGTGGTTTGATGCAGAAGTGTTTAAAGACTGGGTCAAGGAAGTGGTCATTCCATTTTTTAAAAATAAGCAAGGGAAAAAAGTCTTGATAAGCGATAACCTATCGTCTCACTTATCGATAGAACTGATAGATATCTGTAAGAATTTTGACATTCATTTCGTCTTTTTACCGGCAAATTCAACACATCTCACGCAGCCGCTGGATGTGGCGTTTTTCCGCCCGATGAAAGTAGCCTGGCGTCAAATTCTTCAAAAATGGAAGAAAACGGACGGCCGTTTACTATCATGTGTACCAAAAGGTTGCTTCCCAAGAATGTTAAAGTTGCTCATGGATCAAATTAATATAAATTCGGAAAATAACATTCGGGCAGGATTTCGTAAGACTGGTAAGCATTATAGTGAATACAGATAACTCATTTTACTATGTTTTATTTAATAAATTAAAGTATCCTGAAATAAATAATAACTATATGAATGTTCCTTTATTAGGTATCACTCCATTTAATCCTAATGAAGTGTTGGCAAGATTACCGGAAGAGATGCAGAATGATGAAGAGGTTAAAGAAGCTATAGACAAGTCAGTTTTAAATTTATTAAAAGAAATACGATACGGAAGTATAAATATTAAAGAACCAAAGAATAAAAAAAAAATCGATGTTATTGCAGGTAAATAATTACTAAAACTCACATGCATTCGACCTAACACACAGTAGGTGCCTAATACACAATATCTCAAATGCATTCATACTTACAGATAGTAGGTACTTAACTCAAAAAATCTCAAATTTCATTCACACACTGACCTACATTTTATGTCATCACAAAAATATTTTTTACCTATTCAAATTTCAGGTCGAAGTGTTTCACACGAGGACGTAGAAAGTTACGCTGATACAGATACTAAACCTGAAATAAAAAAGAAACGAATCCAAAAAATAAATAATACAAAAAGTGCCAAAGGTAAAGGTGTAGGAAAAAAAACCAAAATAATATGTGATGAAAAAGAAAATAAACCGCCATCGCCAATAGCACATTGTTCAAGGGCATTCGAATCAATCATAACTGAAACGAACAATTTGCCCGCATCTGATAATGATCAAGAACAGCGTAATGATTGGCGTCTTATAGAAGTTGAAAAAATACCCGTTGTGCTAACAGAAGATTTACAATTGTATGAAGAAATAGTAATACCATGGTGCGGACCTACAGATTTGAAAGGAACAAATGTGACAGAAGAAACAAATCTGATAGAAATTGAAAATGAACACGCCAGTACTAGCACTACAAATAAGCCGAACATTATTATTAATAGTAATACAAAATTACCTTTACAACAATTAACAAAACTTTTTCCGAAAAATCCAAAAAGCAAACTTTGAAACCAGTAGCCATAAACCAAAAAATAAATGTAACTAAGAAAAAGAATTACTATAATGACAGTGATGAAATCTTAAAGATTCTAGAGAATGAGTGAGTTTGAGCTATGACTTGTAATTGTTTATCGTAATAATAATAAAGAGAATAATAATCAATAATAATAAAAAAAAATTAATTTTAAGTAAATTAATATAATGCAAACGTTGATTTCATTAATGGATTTTTATTTTTCACTACATTTCTAACTTTATTTATGAAAATATGTTAGGAGACTTTAAAAAATGGTAGGTATATGTCAAGTCCGTAACCTAAAAAGACACTACCTACCAGGTAGGTATTGTAGCTATAGTATGAAAGTGTCAGCCCTAGCGAAAAACTCTATTGACCCCTTAAGCAACCCGTTTCACCCCAACGCCTTGGTGAATAGGGACAAGTAAGTTTTTGTAACTTTTTATGATTATTCTTTAAAAAACTATATCTTAATGCATTATAAATGAAAATTTAAAGTACCGGAACCATTATGATCTCCGTTTTATTACTATAACTACAAAAAAAACCCATAAAAATCAATGTCGAACTTAAAAAGTGTCCCGATTCCCCCCATTTTACGGTATTTAAGTATTTTATCTCTGATTTAAGATAAGGGTACGTAGTTTTTTTGTAACGCATTGTAGTATATTTGGGAGAAAACAGATCTTCGCTAGGTGCCCCACTTTTTGAGGTATAAACGTAGCCAAGCTAGGGAGATTAACCCCAGCAGGGCCACCTTTAAACTTTTAAACCAGTGACCGAGTAATTCTGATATTTGGCGGCAAGGTCAGACTAATCAGCGACAAAATTTTTGTTTATTAAAATTAAAATCCATGATGAAAGCAAAGCCAGTGTCAGTGACACACAACACTCAGCGCAGTAAGCGGCGAGGTGACCGCTTAAACCACTACGCCATTCCTGCAGTCAATTTACCTCGTCTAGACCACAACTTTTATAGCTAATATTTATTTAAATATCTCAATTAAAAGGACTCGTCACAGTGACCTCCAGTCTAATCTTAATAAAGCTTGAAAAGTAAAATGACTATGTACTAATCCTGTATAGATAAAAATATAGAAATATGTAGCTTTTTGTATAAGTTATAAATTTTTGAATAATTTCCCCAGTCAACCACAAAGGTCGGCTAGAAAGACATAGAGGGAACTATCTATTATCCATCTCCAAATAAAAAAACGCTCGTTGCCTATATCGCAAGATTGGGGCTTTTGTTCACTCTATGAGAGCAACTGATGTTTTTAAATAAATTGTAGAATGAAACAACCTTTGCCGACAATAAGTTTAATTTCCTCATACTGCATTCAGGTCAGCTAGATATAAAACGTAAAAAAAACAAATCAGCTGTAGATTGATGTGTCAATGCCTATGGATAATCGAATATTATTTATATTTTATGTCACACCAGCCTGAATATAGTACAATTTAAGAAAGTTGTTAAAATCACCTTAGCCTACCTCATAACCAGAGATATAATCATACATTTTATTTTGTGCATAAATTATGTACAGTTTGGGTAGTAGCTTGGTTACAATATCATACAAATGCACATTTCCTAATAGACTTAGTTGATTTTATTCCACCACAATTTCCCGACTGACAGAATTCATTAAGAATAACTTGCTAAATGTGACTACAACAATTGAATATTGCACAAATATTTTAAAATGCTTTAAGGAATGTTTTCAGAGCTAAGAAGTTGAATATATGCTATAAATACTAAAGACACATTGCATGAATCTTAAAGAAATTGTGCACATTAATCAAATAAAATGTGTTGTAAAATATATGACTAAATATTAAACCGCATACCAAGTATTACTTAAAAATGTATAGATATTTTCATGTATTGTGTTCTTTCAGAAATAATGTACAGAATTCTCTGAATATTTAGAACATATATCAATTAAAAAACCCATATTAAATCCAATAAAAGAAATGGCAGTATGAAGCAGTCACTCGTCTTTAAAACTTGAAATGTTACTATGTAGGTGTGCTTTACTCAAGGCGGAGCAACTCAACATCAAAGATGAGAGTAGAGTTAGGCGGGATGACCCCAGGGTGACCTTGTTGGCCGTATGCGTAGTCTGGGGAACATGTCAACTTAGCACGTTCACCAACTGACATCTGAAACGAGAGATTATTAACATTTTATTCTCTGTTGATCTTTTAATATCTTAGCAGTATTTCTTAGTAACACATAGGATAGGTGCATCATGATTTACCTAATTTTTTCCAACATTGGGAAAGGTTTTAGGTGATATCTTGTCTGGTGATCTATGGCCGGACGCCTGCTTAGCGCCAAACCGCCTTAGGAATAGGATCGTTTTTTGAGGTAACAAAAACAGACAATAAATTGAAGGGTAAGTTAAGGTGATAGAATGAGGGAGTCACAGCTATTTAGGGCAAGGTCATCGAAAGGAAATACATGCTACGTGTGTTGTTTTCAATCACAATCTAGCAACTAAATACAGTAAAACTCTTATTTTACTGGGGCACCAGCAATAAGTCATCCACTCATGACCATGTCAGTGTAATTCGATTGAAACATATGAGAACGAAACAAAGCATTGTTATATCACTTTACTATTTTGCAGGAATATCTAGATTGAGTTTATCTCTACCTGTGTAACCTTAAAAAATATACAAATTAGTATTAAATTGTTATAGATTATTAGTATAAATAAACAAATATTATAATTACACCAATTAAGCTAAGATTCTCAATTAGTCAACTTTTATGACACTGTTTAGTTAAAAATAAGTACCTTAGCTACACCCTCATCCCAGCCTTTGATGACTTCTCCCTTTCCAATTCTGAACTTGAAGGGCTTTCCTCTATCGCGAGATGAGTCAAACTTCTTGCCGTTGGACAGAGTGCCAGTGTAGTGGACTACCACAGTCTGGCCAGACTTTGGGTATGTTGATTCTGTAATGAACACAAGTTGTATAGTGACTAAAAGTAGATATAATATATAAATACCTCTAGAAAACTTATTCTAAAACTACATTACTACATCATATAGGAGTTATTATGGCCCACTATTAGTTTCTGAATGATTTATTTAGCTTCTGCTTATTTGCTTGCAAGCATTTAGCAGTGGCCTATAGTTAAATTAACTCCACCTATTGTAACTAAAACTAACTCCAGGTTCTAGATTGAAACTATTTAAAACTTTTAAATCATGTGTTTGTCGAACTGTAAGACTGACTGCTAATGAGTTTGTTACATTTGCCTTAAAAAACAGAAGTATGAAGAAAACAATGCCGAACAACTTTTTGTTGTAATTTGAGATATGTACATAATAAAATTTTAATTATTTGGCGGGTTGGCTTGTGGTCCTTTGCCAGTGATCATTCAAGATGAGAAATTTATGGAAAGATAATGAAAACGCCTTAATTGAAACCATAAAAATGCACGTGGTTTTAAATATTCATTATATTACAATTTTAATCAGAATGTATCATACATTTACAATATATTATGGTTTAGATGGTTATTCTACTTGCAATTAGAAGCAGAGCTATGAATTCAAGGTATTGATAAAATTCTCATTATCTTCGCAAAATCATTCAGTGTCTAAAATTATAGTTTTTTTACCGCAATATCCAATTAAAAAATCATTTCTAATAAGCGAATGTTCAACTATAATACTAATTAGAAACTAAGTTATACTGAATTCCAGTAAAAATAATAAAATGAATGTATGGAGGTGTTTACCGCTTCAGAAATAGAAAAAATCTGAAGTTGGAAATTCTGTGGAAAACGAGCAATCGGTTTAAATATTTAAAGTAAAGTGCTTACCATCTCCGGGTGAAATAACTTCAACGTTTACTCCCATGATTAAAACAGTTTATTTACAAGAGAATAGATTTAAGACCATAAAACGCCGCTTCCAACCTCAACTTGCTCAATCTCTAGTTCTCAACCTACGCGATTTTTCATTGAACAATGATGGCGTCCGGGAGCCAATGTTGCCACTATCATTATTATTATTGTAATTTAATATTTTAAATTAAATTACATGTAAATATTAAATTAAATGTAAGTTAATGTTAAAATATTGAATTACATTAATAATTATTATTATACTATAAGCTATAATGTAACTACAATAGACTTGGTTCGTTATAAAATACAAAATTAGGACAATTATTAATTAAAGATTTTCAAGTCACATACCAAAATATTGTAGGACGGCCTGCATCTACAAGGTCAATTTTTTTTTCTTTCAAAAAGCCATGTCAGTACACTTTGGTTTTTCAGACGGATAAAACAATACCTTAACTATCGAAAATCATCCAGCCATTTGGAAGGTACGAGGTAGTAAAGAAATTTACAAACAAACATACAGAATAGGCGCGAAAAACTTCATTGGCTGGCGGGTAAAAGTAACATTTCGAAGTTTTTTATAATTAGACATGAATAAAACAATAATGTGCACGCTTGCACAAAACATAGCATAGCAAAGTAAGTGCGACAGTGCTAGGGTGTACCCCGTAAGCGACGCGCGGCAGCAGCACCCTGCTACGCGAATAAGTGGACAAGGGTTGTTGCACCACCCGAGGCGGGTACAACGTAACAAGCAAGCAACGAATGAGGGTTATGAAAGATTACGTGGAGGAAGGGGGTTTGGAAGTAGAAACATTGATGGTTAGTCCCTTCTCCAGTTTTCCTCTTTGTTTGACCTAACAGTAGTTAACACATGGTTTCAAAATCGTCATTAACATCTGAATACGTATAAAAGGAGTAGCCACGCGTCACAGATCGACTACTTTCTCATAAAAAGAAGTAAGTTGGTATATGTCAGACACTGCAAAGTGGTGCCCGAGGAACACGTAGTATCGCAACATAGATTGCTGGTAATGGAGGTCAAATGGAAGATTTTGAGTAAAAGTAGGAAGAACCGACCTTCTCAAGAATCAGGTGGCCAATGTTATAGAAAGAAGAGTATGCAAGTAACTTTAAGGTAAAGGTGGTAGAAAAATGATTCAAATGAATAGCTGTTATTTTTAAGGTCGTTTTGAATGAATTGAATGGTTGTTTGACATGTTACAGATCTGCTTAATTGATTGATTTTAGAATTGATAGACTCAATGTTCAATTGTTGGGTCTCGTAATTGGTTTTAAGGCGTTTTTGTAGATTAGTGAGGAAATTACGATATCTTTTGTATGTGAGTTGACAAATGACGTCATCGGGTTTTTTTTGGGTTTCTTCAAGATGCAGTTTGTCTCGTATTCTCTTGCATCTCATTAATCCAGGCCTTATCCAGGGCTTCATAGAGCGCTGAGAACGATTAATAGAAATGGATCTGGAGTTGGTGTGCATGGATGTGCAGCTATTTGCCCAATCTACTGATTTCAGATCATTAATAATTCCAATTGTTTTAGTTTTTAATGTGGTGCGGCATGGTAATTTAAAACTACTTAATGATTCACTGGTCATAGTCACTAGACAAATATCGTGATCTGTTATGGCAGCCCGACAAACGATTTATAGGATAGATAAGGATTTATCTTTAATGAAGATGTGGTCTAAGCATACCTCGCCTCGTGTAGGTGACGTTATGGTGGGAAGCAGTTGGTGACTAGCCAATAAACACAGTTATTCTGAACATTGCTTGGTCGGTGTATTACGGCAGATGTCCAGGTTAATGTCACCAGCCAGTATAATAGAATGTCGAGCGTTTATGTTAATCAAAGTGGCATCTACGAAAGAAAGGAACGTGTAAGGTTTTTTAAATGTGAGAGACCTGTAAATTCCTAGTATAGTTAATTTGTCATTTATAGTCAGCTGAAGTCAGTTACATTCATCACATAATGGTTCATGAACTGAGGTGCTCCATACATCTCTGACGTAAGCTGTAATACCATCGTTCTTCGACTTTTACTTAACACTTGACACTTTAGGATTTCTTGTGTTTTCATTGAGCCAACATTCAGACAGAATAATTACATCAGGGCAAATATTCATTTCTGCGAGCAAGTTATGCTCGCGAAGGAGACGGCGGAGCGGGACCGGGAGAGGTTTAGAACTCTCATGGCCCGCAAGGCCCAGGAACGGGCAAGGTACGACTCAGGCGTCGGAGGTCGCAGAACGACCTCCGTCCTCCATAAGCGCAGGCCTGGGGGTGACAGGTGAGGCTATATGTCACCCTAGCAGAAGCAGGCCGGGGTGGCGGCGAGCGTGTTGCGAAGCGCGCTCGCTTCCAGGGAGCAGAGGGATCATGGGGTTCCCACACGGGGGGGGGGGGGTCGTCTACTCGTCTGTAGGTGGCCCGAAGTATGTCGGGGCACCAGGGACTTCCTTTCTAGGGTATACCTGGTTCCCCGTGCGGTTTTAGTCGGTTCGTGTCCGACATGCCACCGAGATGGTATCCGAAGGGATTTCCGCAAGATATTAAGGCCTACAATCATGAAACTGACATTGGCAGTCAGTCAGACATTACAGTGTTCCAACCTCTCTAGAGAATAACATTTTATCCTGAGGGTTTTGTCTATATCTTCATAAAAATCATGCATTTTTATGATGTTGTGACTGTGTCCAACGGGTTATAAAGATAACAAAAGAGATAGCACGGTAGTAATTAACTAAGAGGTAGAACAGACGGTAAAGAGATAAATGTACGAGTATCAGCTTTTGTTTTTTGTGAATAAGGTGTAGAATGTGATGTGAGTGTGTTATTTTGAGTGTTTGTTGCTTTATGAAGTGTTTTGAGTGCATATGATGTATATAATCTTTAGTAAAAATAAATGCTAAAAAGGAACATAACTTACGTGCTCATTTTAATCTAAAAGCTAACCAGTTCATTTGTAGTTGTAAAAACCTCTCGTCCAGTTCCTCGGAGTTGTGAATGCGGATTGCCTCTTTACCTTAATCCTTTTTGATGTAGATGTTGCCATGACGCACCCAACAAAAACGATATGCTTGTTTCTAAGGACGCAGTCGAATTTCACGTAATAAGTCCTGGTTAGCTTTTGTTAACCTCTCGTAAATGTAAATCTTTTGAGCCGGAGTCATCGTGATGTTCTGCTTTTACCACCTCATCCCTTTTTTGGCGACGTAACAGCTTTACAACAAGTGGACGAGATTCGTTGTTGCCAGTTCTAGTTGCCAGCCAGGGTTCAGTTGGTCGTTTTGATCCTATATGAGACACCTCATTCAGGTCGGCCTCGGATAGTGGCATACCCATCTTTTTGGAAGTTAACAGGACTATATGTGTTAGGTTTTCATTTCTAATTTGTTTTTAATTATGTGTTGCTCTTGAGTAGCTACAAGTTGTTGAAGTTGACTAAGCGACGCTTTCAATTCTGCAATCTCAATATCTTTGGCTTGACATATTTTTCTAAACTCAGTTAGACGTTCCTGCAAAATTTTTATTTATGGATGAGGATTGGTCTATTATCTCTAGTCGAACCTCACAGATTTCTTGTCTCAAACTTCGTATTTCCACAATTAAGTTTGAAACGTTAAGGTCACCAGAGTTCTCTATAGAGGAGGACTCATTTCTTTGTTTCATACCTCTCGCGGTATTAACGTTCTGATTAACTGGATACAAAAAAGTAGCTGGTACGGGTGTGCTTGTATTGTCTGTTTTCGTTTATTACTGAACACAAGCCATTCAGGAGGTGTCCGCATTCTCTTGCCTGTACAAGTTGCTTACTGCCTTAGTCAGCATCAGTTTTTTTTAAACTGAACACAAACTGAAAACGTTCATTTTGCAAACTGTACTTAAAAAACGAACGATAAGCGACGAAAAGGTAAGGTATTCACTCTCTCAAAAATTCTTCTGTGTTCTTGGGTCATGTTTTTACAATAAAATGAACAGTATTCCTAACATATACCCCAAAAGTAGATTTTCTGTCTGCAAATGCTAAAATGTTATCTGAAAACCCTGGATCCACATCCATATGATACAACTGAAAATATAATGACTATCCTTAAATAAAGCCCTATTCTGAATATTCCCTAACCTCGCTATCATTAATGACAAACTCGCAACACAATCTCATGACACTCTTCACTAGTCACAATCACTTACGCACACACTCGTGCACATACACACACACCCATTCACACACACACATACACACACACGCGGAGAGAGAGAGAGACACACACACACACACACACAGGCATACACGCAGAGAGAGAGACATACACACATATACACATTTATTTTCATTTTAATTTTGCTTTTTTTTAAAGTAGGGAATGTTTGCCCTATTTGTTTTTTTTTTGGTATTTTAATAGTCTTAGTTTGTTTAATTGTAAATTTTCTCACACGGTGTATTGTCTATCTCCTATTCTTACCACGCAGGGGGCCTGGTGACCTGTAACACAGGTTTCTTTTTCTTAACCTACATCAGGAACCAGTCTTTCACAAATTTGGATTTAAGAAGCTTACTCACTACTGTATTATTTTGTTGAGGTATCCATTTGTGAAAAGAGAATCATCATCATCATCATCAACAACTTTTATTGTCCACTGCTGGACATAAGCCTCTCCTTAGAAAGGAGGTTTAAAAAGAAAAGAAAAGAAATGAGGATAAACATTTATTATTATTATTAAAAAAAAAACCTAGGCATCGAGTATTTCACTCCTGCCCACCGCCTTCAGCTCTATAAGGCGCAAGTCCGGCCACATATGGAATATTGTTCTCATCTCTATGCAGGCGCACCTCAGTACCAGCATTCTCCCTCTGGACCGCATCCAACGAAGTGCGACTCGAATCCCTCGATCCCTTGGCGTTACGTAGAGATGTGGCTTAACTCTGCATTCTCTATCGCATATATCATGGATGGACTAATACCAGCCGCAACTTTCCGCCATCGTCCCACACGGTAAAATTTTCATCTTCATCACCTGGATAGTTGGCGCTCCACTACAATCTGTGGAACGGATTATCGTCTGAGATATTTCCTAAAAGGCCGGCAACGCGTTTGTGACTCCTGAGTTGCAGACGTTCATGGGCGGCAATGGTCACTTTCCATCAGGTGACCCGTCTGCTCGTCTGCCCCCTCTATCATAAAAAAAAACAAGTACTAGAAGTTGTTACAACTCACTGCTTGTTTGGTATTTAGTTTAAAACTATTTAACGACAATACATGTACCTCTAATGATCGATAGATGGCGTTGTACTATTGCGATCGTTTTCTAGATGTCGATGTTAAGATTTTCTTGCAATGCATTATCTTCTAGTCCAGGTTATACAATAAATTGTCTTGCTGTGAACGTAGTGCCCTCGGGAGATATTCTTGCGACTTTGTACACTGCTTGAGACATATTTCCATATTTGACGATTCATTGTTCGAAGACCGAAGTCCGTGTAGTGACGGATTAAGAATACGGAATGTCACTACCCCAATTCATCCCGTGGGTGTCGTAAGAGTCGACTAATTGCGCAAAACAACGCAGGACACCAGCTCTGCAAAAAGAAGGAAAACTTGTCACAAACCCTATACCAACCCGTCTGGCCACGCTGGCCATAGTGGTATAGTAGGCCAAAACCTCCTTTCTAAGGAGAGGCCTATGTCCAGCAGTGGACTATTACAGGCTGATGATGTGATGATGATGTGTTCGAAGACTCCCCGAGTCCGAGTCTGTGCTAGCTTCAATTTCTTACGCGCTTTAACATTATGTAGCTAATTAGCAATTCCTTCATTTTTGCTTTCTGGTGTTTTTGTTTCCTTAATTAATTACTTACTTGTCTTGATTACTTATACCGTAATTGTTTTATTGAATTAACTAATTCACTATATTAATAAATTCCATAATCAGTTGCCCGGTTGTAGGAATTAATTCTGTAATGTCAAAAGCCTCGTTATATTTCATTCAATTACCGCCACTCCAACTGGCTTAGAAGCTTTTATATTACGTTTTTAATATCGAATTTGTCTGGCCCGGTACCTTTAAAGTGTATTCTTTACAAATAGGAAAAAAAAAAACATTATTGGAAATGACAGCACGCATACCAAAAGATATTTTATTTAATAATTACTTAGAAAAAGACATCCAAAAACTGTTCTATCCTTTCTATTTGTTACAACATGTGTTTTTATCCACTAAGTTTAAAATACGAGATAATTTCATCTATCCTAACGGACCAAAGCTAAATATAACCATGTCTGTTATTTGGGCAGTCTTATTTATTTGTTTTATCTACAGAGTATTTACGAGATACGGCTCTTTATCAGAAGCAAGACACTCGTTTGACAGCAATACTCAATATTACCTCGTTTATTTTTATTACATTTATGATAGTCTTCTCATTGTTGCAGTATTTATTCTCAATCTTATACATAATCATGATAATATATTACTTATTTTATATATTCAGACGATCCACGACCATTTCAAGATTGATAGAAAATGTAATAGGTATAATACTATGTGGAATTGGATCTCTTCTGTGGCCATTATATGTGTAAACATATTAGTAGCTTCATATTTCTACAGACTAAATCTGAATATTGATTATTCCGATTTCTTTAAAGATTTTTTACGTTTTAATTTCGATTTTGATCTTATTTACGCGATTCGAATCATAACAATGCTAAAGAAATACTTAATTTACTTTACTAATAATTATTTATTGACTGATATCCAACAAGAACAAGGATTTGAGAACATTTTTCAAATTTATCAAACGCTTTTGCAAGCTTATAATTTGTTTAACAAGATTTTTAATTTGATGGTAATTTTGTGCTATCTGATATTTGTTTTTTTTTTTAAATTTTTCATACAAGAGAAATAACGGGTGTAGTTATGCATTTTTAATTGTCGACTGTTCCATTGACTGTTACAATTTAATAGATATTTGTCTGCAAAGTTAACTTTTTGAACATACGAGTTTTTGAATTGAATTGAATTACACCGGAGACATTTAAACATTGTCTGAATGTTGATTTGTTATATCCCTAATTATTTAATGATAATAATCCAATGATAGTAAAATTTGATATTATTATTTGGCGTTATTTATATTTAACAGATATTTGTTCAGTGTGCTGATACACTTTGCCGATTTTTAAGTTATTTGCTAGCGACGTTGGGAATTGTAAATCACGGGTTTGACAAATCCTTTCACTCTGGTGTAAGTATTTTTTTAGTCTTTTACGATTGAGAATTGCCTTTTATTTTATTAAATTTCAAAGATAAATAGTAGTATACCTACATAAAAACAAATTTTGGCTCAATTTATTCACCAAACTAAGGATAACACTAAAAAAAGTAAAAAGGAGGGGAATATAAGTGAACATTGATTAATCTGGTGCAAAATGTTGCGTTCGTCATTTAGAATCTTTTTAAAGTTTATATAGTTTTATTTGTTGTTAGAAGTTTTAATTGTTGTTTTAAAAAAAAGAGATCATAGTCAAATGGTCCCATCCTTAATATGCTATAGTCTGACAAATTCATAAGCCTCCCATGGCCCGTGTGGGTGGTGAGGGACGTTACTACCTTATGACGTGTAGTACACGTGATACGAATTACGTTTCTATTGAGTGTGCAAATATCCATTTTCTCCACTTTTCAGCACTATAATTAGCAAAGATGTTTGCAAGAATGTTTTTTTTCTGATCTGAATTGGAATACGTCCTTGTTATGCCTCCTTTGATATTTCCATACCATCTCGATTGGATTGAGATCGGGATGATATTGGAATCAAACGAAGCACTGAATGTCCTGCCTGATTTATTATTTCCTCAACTGTGTATTGTTTCAGCAGCTTTTGATTATTAATTAATAGCATCAAATTCAATTTTCGTAAGGTATCCTTATCCTTAAAAGTCCGTGTGGTGACGGATTAAGAATACAAATTGTCACCACCCCAATTCATCCCGTGGGTGTCGTAAGAGCCGACTAAGGGAGCAAACTAAGAAGGACAACAGCACTGCAAAGAGAAGGAAAACTTGAAACAAACCCTATACCAACCCGTCTGGCCAGCGTGGTATAGTAGGCCAAAACCTCCTTTCTAAGGAGAGGCCTATGTCCAGAAGTGGACTAGTATAGGCTGTTGATGATGATGATGAAACGGCACATTATGTTTCGTTAGCCAGTCTTGTTTTACCGTTTCTTCAATTTGTTTCCGTGGTACGCAGCGGTATCCATGACTATGACGGCATTCTTGGAATATTAGGGAGTACTTGTTTCTTAATCCATTTCTCAAAAAAAAATTGAGTTCATGTCTT